CCCACTGGAGGGTCTTCAGACAAATGCCCATAAACAGACTTTTCCCCCACAAAGTGATTTGTGGAGACACCAGAGAGGATTTTTCTGTCCTCTGTACTGTACACTGCTTCGGTTGCTTTTGAAAAGATTTAAATGTGTGGAAGAGAACAAGTGTGTCCTCAAGAGTTGAGTGAAAGGAGCATTAAGGCATGATTGAACCCTCATTGACAAATTGAAAGTCACTGGATAAAAAGAAACAAATAAATAATCTGACATTGCTCTGGCAGTAACTGGGTAGGAAAAAGTATGTACAAATTCTTATCAAGTTTCAGACTGAACTCTGTGATCAGGGAAGACATTAAATCTAAAATTTTCCACACCAGGGGCAAAAACATGCCATAACATGGGCATTCCTAGATCCATAAGGGTCTTTCCTGTGTACGCGCCAATTTAAAGTATGGCCGAAACATCACAACCTGAACAATGGATTTTGCCCTATCCTTACAATTTTCTGAATTTTCCCCACTAAAACTTAGACTTTATTTGAAAAAGATTTCCCCTTTTGGGGATACCCATCCCTTTCCAGACTCATTTGTGAAATTAAAGAACCTGCCACTTGCAGAACAATATCCCTCCCCCCCGATTTGAAGCGCACCCTCACAAAGACAAGAAAGACAGACTGGTATCAAGTTTTCCAACCAGAATCTTACACACATTTGGTGTGCACGCAAAGACCATACACTGCAGAATAAATTCGCTGCACGTACTGGGCATGCCCCACATCAAACATGCATAAACTTGCACACCTATACGGTGAGTTCATACCAAAGGACTGCCAATTTCATTTAAAAACACGCCCTCTTCTGTTCCTGCTCGGAGCAGATTGTGCATTTTTTGAGAGTGATACTCGTGCAGTAGTGCTTGTAGGTTTTTCAGCCTTGGGCAAGAAGCCAGAATTTTTCAAGAGAATAAAGGGGAGACCCGGGTCCCTTTTTTCCACTTGGGTAGAGAAAGGTTAATATTACTCGTCACTGTTTTAAAGACATGCTTTAAAATATACTTTTCCAAAGTTTTGCACAAAATTTGATGAGGTGGAAAAATAGCCAATGTTCTCACAATCCTTGGGAACATTCTGTCAGAAAGTCTTTTCTTCATGATGGCAATACAAACCCTGGAAATATTCAAGCAATAAAAAGACAAACTATCCTCCTCCCAGAACTGCATTTGAAAACAACAATTTATGTAACTACCGCAGGGCTACATCATTATTTACTGAAGTTTGTACACAAAATAAATTCAACAAGGATCTCACATCCTGCCTTCTCACTAAATAAGCTGTAATATAAAGTCTGTGACTTTCCATCAGTTATACGGTTCGTATGACTTATGAAATGTTTCAAGAGAGCAACTAAAAACCAGTCTAAATATCCAAGAAGGGCCAAAATGTATACATTTCAAATAACAGATCTTACCTGCAAAAACAATGTGCCCAATACTTGATACCCCTTCAGTGAAATATTCACAACAGCTCGTGAGGGATTCCTAGTCGAGAATCATCCCGTGTGAGACTGGTGTGAGTGGACTTATCACCAAATCTAATAAAGTGTGAACATCGTTCAAAATCTAGCGTGCGCTACACCGAGCACAGCCACAGCAGTTTTGCAGCCTGCGCAGGAAGCAACATATCAAGGGGGGCCCCGATTCCAAGACATTTGCCAAGGAGATCAGTGGGATGAGAGGAAGACTGTTGACTCATCATCACGACTGTAGACTTGGTGCCAGTTCCTGGTTGACATTCGAAGGAGCTGCACCAAGGAGCTGACGAAAACAAGACTTGCCAAGGCAAAAGAGTGTGTAAAAACTAAATATCCACCAAAAAATCCAACCATGTCATTTGATGCAGGAAATCCTTCTGAAGCAAATATGCCGTCAATTTTATCCTGGTGTCATAACAAGATGCACCTGACACCAGGAGATAGCAAGGTATTCGTCGTTTACATGTTCACTGGTTATGTAGCTATCATTGCCAACGATCTTAAAGGATCTCTTACACATGGAGACACCTGCTCACAGCTAATCAACTGTTGATTTAGCATCATCATCTGAAGCACGCAACAGGAAGAGGATATCAATTAGCTGCGCCCACTTGTGCATAGAGGAAAACAGACTATTGTGATTTAATGCGCAAGTTCTTTTTAATTTTTTGGCCAAAACTCGTGAATAAAAACTCAAAGACTATAAAAGCAGTATGTTTTCAAACAACTCGTGAACTTTTCAATATTATAGATTCTACGCAGCAAAAGCTTACGTGCACCTGTATGAGTGATTCTAGTTGAAGAATCAGCCCCAAAGCACCAACTGTTGGACGAGGCATCAACCGCAAATTCAGCACTATTCACTCATGCCAAAATAAATTTGGTATCTGGAAATGAATCTGGTCCTGAATGCATCGACCTGGCCTAATTTACACAACAGCATTAACCGTCAGAACGACAACATGTCAGCTTGAATCATTTCATGTGTTTTCTGTATCATTGCACTGAGCACTCACAATTTTCAGGGATTTATAACCAACCTCGGAGTTAGGCTAAATGGAAAATAAACTTTTGAATACTTACTGGTGATCCTGAAGGATTTTTTTATCTATCCATGCTCTCAAAACACCCACGACATCGATTTCAAAATCTGTCACTTTTCACGCTCTCCACTCTCCGTTCAATGCATTCCCTGCCACCCCTACTCCCCTCCCTCGACAGTGTTTCCTTACCTTTTCCATCACCCCGACCACGACCACGACAGGACGTCCCATTTACAGGGGCCACAGTTTCAAATCTTATTGAATGCCTGCCAAGTTGAGGTATCCCTGAAGGCAATGGCAAGGACCCGATCTTCTCGAAACTTGATGTGATTTCCTCTCCCCGAGCGTCTGCCAGTCCCAGGAGGAATCAGAGAAAACAGTGCCCAGGTTGATGCTAAAAGATCCCTCCCGTCCAAATCAAGACCATTCCAACTGCGATTCCTTTCCCCTTGGACAATTCGAACTCTTCCACTTCTAGAGTTTTCACAGCCAAATTCTGGAAAACCAAATGCACCTCGAGGCAAAGAGAGTTTCAGTAGGCCACCCTCAACTGGCTCTCTGCATGAAGCTGATGTTAAGCCTACATGCATTCATACACAATGTGTTCACTCAGTAGTCACTTCCCAGTGTCGGTGACTCCATGAGTCACCCGCACAGGTAAAACATCAGTTGCTAAAGAAAAAATTGAGAAATGATCCTGGAAACAAAAACTTGAAGATGCTAACAGGCAATCAATGCAACATTATGATAAGGTATGATGAGGTACCATAGAATTGACACATCTGTCACATCCCACTTAGACCTTGCTTCAGTGAAGACTGAGTGCCAAGCATAAGTACACAGGAAGTGGTAGGTTATAGGGATTTAGGAAAAGAAACGCATGCTGAACTTGTCGTGTACAACTGCAAGGCAAGTAACAAAATAAAACACGATAGAGGGTTTGGCTGAGGTTGGGACGGCCAAAATATCCATATCTTCTCTAAATCAGAACGTTTGACAAGGCTATACATCACTGTAATATACATGCAAGTTTACCCTTTCTAACAATGAACAGCACCAAACTTTACAAGTGCTACTAACCATGCACCACTACTCAACAAAGTTAAAGATTTGGATTAGGCCCATACCCACCTGTCCATATCAAAACCCGGTTCTATTTTTTCAAGCCAGGTACCTGTAAAAACAACAATTCCTAGAATAAAATGTGTGTAAACTTTAATAGTAATAGAACTAGTGTGCTGCTCAAAAAAAAAAGTGCTGTGGTCATGACTCCAGTTTAGAGATCGACAGAGCTATTTTTGGTACAAATTGAAGGTAACACTTTGTTGAATTCAAGGTGGGGGAGATTCCCCTCAAACATTCAGAACAATGTGCTGCTTCCTATGTACAAAAAGAGCCCTGTTTCGGACACATGGTCCACCGGGCCAGATTGCACCCAATGCCATCTGTTAAGTGTTCTTTATGTTTTATCATATAAACAGGTATCTGGTCCCAAATATACCTATAAACACACCCTCTAATTTGGGTCACTAGACCCCAAACTTGAATGTCAGTGCTTTGAGAAGACCTACCTTAAATGTTGACCATGGGTGTTCTTTATGAAGAAATGATGCTTAGGTGTTCTCTGTTTATCCACAAATGTTTTGTTACAGATGCTATCTGGAGGAAACAAAACAGCAAACTACTTACAGGAGACGACACTCATTGTCAGAGAAAGGGCACAGGGGCAAATAAGGAGATAAGTGATTCGAATTTCCAGTGGCCATTCCCCAGCTGATGACCGGTCTGCTCATCAGGCTGGGACTATTTTGGAAGTGATAATTAATAAGCTCGTATCCGCTTGGCCTTTGAGATGAGCTGATAACACGTCTCACTGATAATCAGAATTAGCACAGCTACAGTCAATGGATAAAAGTGCAGTGTTTGGATTCTAAATAAAAAAAAAAAAAAACAGAACTGCAACAAGAAGCCATGATGGTCTTTTAGATTTAAAGAGCGAACCACATATTAAGATTTTCCTGCCTGGCAGCCATGGTTCTAGAAATAACTTGGAATCAGAAGGCATGCAAAGATTCCTGACAAGGTGAGATGTGCAGGGAAAAAAGTATTTAGGTGCTAGATGCATAAAGGTTTGATTGTAAGACACAAACTGGTCAAAGGATTTTCTAATAAAACGTAAATATTCAATGTATCTCAAAATCATTTTTTTTCAAAGATATTTGCGAGGACTGACCATAGCTGAGGTTATGATGAAAAAGGCGGCATCAGTCTGAGGATACTGTATTCTTTCTAATGTACCACTCAAATTTGCCACAACTTTCGCAGTTTCTAGTGGTCAGTAATGTTACTTGCTTGAACTTTTCCAAAATTTGGCTTGAGTAATTGCTAAACTTGTGGGGGGGTCAGCAAACTTGAGATATTTGAAATGGGATATTTTCACCGTAATTGTCCTTCCTGCACAGCTCCAACTCAGGGAAGGTGCTCAGGAGAAGTGTGCTATAACATGAGCAAATGAGCTGTAGGCCTGTGTCATGGGTGATGTGACGTCATCCCACAATGTCAACTGGGAAAATGGATATAGGTTCCCCCTACTCCAGTTCCAGGTAGAGTGGAAAATCTGGCCTTGTTATCAAACAGTATCAATTGATTCAGCTCACAATTAGGCCTACTACTACATGCAGTGCCCCCAATCATTTATACTGTCACGCCTAGCTCACATTATCTAAGGCTTAGCCCAAGTCTATTTCAGCAATTCTCCATCCTCTAGACCAAAAATAAGCAGCAATGCAGCATTCGTGAAACAAAAATAACAAGTTTCTGACATCATAGACAGATCCACTGCTGCTTGTGAATGCGACATATCAGATTTGTGCAAAATCTTTGCACCTTGCAAGTCTGTGTGACTGTGAGGCCCCAGGAAAAGTTCTAAGCATACACATATATAGCCCACGCACATCCCTTATTTTCCCCTTGTTATATCAGCTTTCATCTTGTTCAAAAAGTGACAACATATCCTCAAGAGACCAGACAGTGTAGCTACATTGCGATGCATGGAAATTGAAACCCTGTGAGATGGGTCATGATAATTGTGCACATGCCATAATTTTGAAATCGCGTTTATATATCATACCTTAAGTGATAACGTTTGCCACGTCTTTTATGGGGGGAGGTTGGGGGTTGGGGATATTTCATGACACTGCAACTGTTCACAAATGTTGAATCTGGTTTGTAAGTGTGACGTCACTTCAGTTTAAACCACGCCCGCTGCACATGCACTGCACATACAGTTACATGCTTTGATCGCCATTTACATGGAACCAGAAGTTAATGCACAACTTCAGCGATTGTCCAATGGCAGCCTGCAAAATCGTGGTGCGTCCACCAAAGTCACTTATGAACCGGAGAGTGCGTAGGCCCTATGTATGCCTTGGCCTATTTATGTGTGAAGGTAACAGGCCTCAGCAACTGAATAAATTTGAATTTTTTTAACAATGAGGTTCGGCAATGTGAAGCGCAATCTTGACTCTTGCACAAATTTATTGTGCACACGCGTACATATACTCAGAATCAATGGATTATGTGGATTTTTTCTTTCTCAATTATTCTTTGACTATATTTCTTCGCCTATTTCTCAACCCTTTTTTTCTTTGACTTTCTTTTTGGCCTACATTTTGTGTGTCACAATTACTGAATTTTTGTTCTTAAAATCATTCAGCAGGTGGAGGACAATGCCACCAAAGAAAAAAAGGAAGATGGTTCTCCCAGCAAGACCAACTAGCCGTCTTCAGAAGTATTTAAGTGAAAACTTCAGTGGTTTGCTTCACTGTCATATTCCACATCTATTCTCTGATTTAATTAATTACTACTAATTAACATTAATCATATTGCAGTTACTTACTGAGAAATAACCAGCAGTTTCACATGTATGTCATAACCATCTTGACAGGATCTTCATTTTGTACTGCTCACATACTCAGCAGGTTGGTCTTGCCTTGGAGTTTGGCCCTGTTCTTCTTGTAATTACGATAATGAATTAGTGGCGACATTATTTTTTGTTCCTTTTCAGAAGTACTGAAGAACATTTTCAAATTCTTTTGCTGCTTAATTACCGAGAAATTACCACTGAATATGCCAGGTCTTTAAACAGTTATGAAATTATCAGTCCTAAAAAGACTTCAGTTTGGGTTACAGTTTTTCTTTGTGTCTCTTTATAATACGTATAGATAGGAATATTAAATCCTCCCCCCCCCAAAAAAAAATAGGCCTAGCTTCATTCATATTTATCTGCTGATATTTATCTTTATTTCATTTCACATACCTACAACTTAAGGCATGACGTGGGGGATTTTATACTTGGGGACCCCCTCCAGTGTTTTTGTCATTTTAATCTTGCAAAACTGATAAGTTCCCTCTCCCAAAAAAACACACAATTTATTGCGCTGACCCTACTTTGGGGAAATTTCAAATTGTAAATTGTGAGAAAATGTGACTTTCTTACTTATTAGCCAACCACGCAGTTGAATCCAAAATGTGTCATGTCTTAAAATACTCAGTGTTCCCTCATAATTTCCCTCAAAATTAAAAACCCTGCCCTTTTTTTAACATTAATCCAACAGTTATTGAGCATGATGTCACAGTCATCTACCAAGGTGACTTCAAAAGCTAAAAAAATATTTGTAAAATGTCAGTCTCCTTTCTATTATAGGAACAGGGTCCCCAAATTCACAATCCCCAATATGTGCACGCCAAAATACTTTCATAATTTTTCTGTAGCGTTTACAAGGAACAAATGCTATTCGAAAAGTTAAGTGTTTCACCTTCTGTCTTCCCGTCGTCTCACCGTTCAGTCAATGACCGCACCGATCACTGACACGCAAGGCTTAAGTTTTATTTGTCACTTGAACACCTGCGAACCTGGTGCGGCCAGCTAGCGGAAGCCGCTAGCTCTTTGCGGCTGGTGCCGCCCGCTTGTACTTTGAATAGCGCCCTCGTTATTATTCTTGTGGCGAAAATATTAAAAACAGTGCGTCGCTCGTCGCCCAACGCCCGAACAAGCCGTTGGGTGACGAGCGAAAGCATTCCTCACCGTGACTTTCAAAGATAAACGGAGTTGATATTTCTTTACTCTCCGTACTTCAACTTTAGCTCAGTGGTCGATGGGGGTCCACTGAACACCTTTCTGTTGGACAGGAGCTTGTCATTAGTTTATTGCCATACAATTTTTTTTTGGGGGGGGGGGTGAAGGGATCGTATCATACAAAGTTTGTGAAAGTGCGCAACACCTTTTAATACAGACACCGAGGGCGTACGCTGCGAGTGATTGGACTACATTCTCTCACGGTAATCCTACATGTTTTACAATCACAAAACAGAAGATTTGTATTTGGAACATTTGTTTTTAAAATGAACCAGATTGCAGGATTTGATGTCCGTTTCCTATTTTTTGCTTCTCAATGTTGCTTCCCCCCCCCAAGTTGCTGCCATTTCTATATAGTCTCCCTTTCGGGTAATCCTAGGCACGTCCTGAACATAAATTCTGTTGACCCTGCGGTTGAATTGTTCATGCGTTCTACACTTCTAGGAAAATATTTTATAAAGCTTTGTTATATTCTGTACAAAATGCTTTGGCTGACGGAGTGTATAGTGAAAGTTATCCCTTACTGTCTGTCAACGTTCGTGGATGTACAGACTGATTGGCGTGCAAGTACAGCATCCTATGCACTCGTTCTAGTTTCCATCGCTGCTTGTCCCTGTCCGTTTGCACGTTCGGGGGTTTAATACAACCAGTACATCGGATTTCTTGGGGCCAATCAATATACCTTTCTCAGTGTTAAGTTGAGTAGAATAATCGATGACAATGCTGTCGGGCCCCTACTCTACTTCTATTAGGACCACATAATATCATATTAAAGAGTTTCTTTCGCCATCAGAAAGACTAACTCAACCCATTGATGAACAGGGGGACTGTAGAGAGGGGGGCATCAGTGGCGTATCCAGCGGAGGGGGATTCCATTCACAAATCAATAATACTTCATAAGTAAGTAGGAAAGAAAGTAGTCGGTATACTTAGGCCTATTTATGGATATCACTAGCGCAAAAACCCTTAGAAAGCAACATCACGGAAGTAAAACTAAAAGCAAAGATGTCGGGAACGTAAGGCTTTTGATATTTGTTCTCCCCAACATATCGTGTTTTTGAATTGCCCCCCCCCTCCCACACACCAAAAACTGGATACGCCGCGGGGGGCATGCCCCTCGAACAGAGAAAAGTTTTTCAAATAAAGAGATGCGACTGTGTGTGCATTTTCTAACAAGGCGCAAAACTCCCCTTATCTCACCCCAGTAAGGCCATATGAAGGTTACATGAAGAAATACTCAACCAGTGTCCCTTTTAAAAGATTTTGTTCTGGATCCATCCTCCACTTAATCTCACATCAGTTATACTCAATAACTCAAACATGCATGGCCTTAGGTACCACTCATGCGGAAAAACAATACGAAGGCATATGATGGTCTTATCTGCCGGATTTCTGTTTTAAGTACTGGCAAAATGACCGACTACATACAGGGAAGAAACGCAACACACATCAAAGAAATGTTCATGATGGGTATGACAGACGCGGCGACCTTTCTAGTGATCACCACTCACCGCTTTCTTTTCTCACTTGGTGTGGAGATTATCACACCTTCCGGTCGATCATTCAGTCGGAATGTGAATTTGATCCTTGAGTAAACTGCCAATAAATAACCGCTCAATCTACTCGGATTATTTGCCTTGCAGATAAGCTTGTTGGTTTAGTTGATGAGATTTTGTTGACCATTGTCCAGGGGTGGTGGACCGTGTGATCACCGCGAGTTTTTGGAAGTGTTTTGGATTATTTCCTGTGACTGCCGAACCACACACAGGAGAGAAAAAAAACAGACAAGATACAGATGCTATCCAAAGGCGATAATTTGTTCTTCTTGATCGAATATCCTAAAAAAAAATCCAGAAGTGATTCCCCACATAACAGCAGCGCTGGTATCAGGTGATATGATATCGGTGCTTTATCAACATACACGTGAAGAGGCGTTTCTTCGCAAACGGTTCTGAATTAGCGCCCCCATATCCGTCAAGCTGCAGCACGCTGTTGAAATATATGATAGTATCGATTCCAAATCAACCGTGCGATATAATCGAAAAAAAACCCTAAACAATATAAAATTTGAAAATGAAATCAATGGCACTTGAACAAATCAGACTTTTTTTCTCTCTCTTTTGATTTGTATACTACCTTTATAAACATCTGACGACACAAACTTATCAAAGTTGACACATCGTGACCTGCACGGGATAGCCGTGACTATGAAGTAACGAGAAGTTGAATTACTGGAATACATGTAAAATTGTGACTGTACTCAATGCAAGCAACTGTTCGTTGTATTCGGTCACTTTTCAGACAACGTGAACGGTGAATACTATTCTTTTCGGTGTTAGGCCTACAGTACAGTGACTACGTACCGGCTATCGAAGTCTGAGTAAGTATTCGATTCCATTCTTCGCATAGTAATATCGTTTCACGCAAGTGTCGAAATTTGTCTCACAAAACTTCTGTCACGATTTGCATCAAGCTAGGCCGGCCGGCTGCACGCTCCGAGCGCTCCTGCATGTGACCTACCTGTACGAAATCGGGAGAAGTTGTTGACGGAATGACCACAGGGTAAGTAAAAAGTCACATTGTTCACCTTCTCTAACATTAGTGGATAATCTGATAAATACAGCCAGACACTCTGTGTATAACTTTTATTCATAAAAAGATAGTCGGGATAGTGTTGCCTTTCTGTGTTGGTCGAGTCTTGAGATGTTTCACAGCAAACTGGTGTTGCAGTGCGTGCAACCGTGTGGCAGCTTTCTACAATTCAGTGGGACAGTGTCGTGGACCGTTTCATCTCACTGTAAACGGTCATTAGTGTGGCCAAAAAAAGGAGGAAAAGCGAACCATCATGACCATGGAGGATCTTCCCAACCTTTCAATATGTCAGAAGCACAGCAAACCTCAAAAGTTCAAAACACCAGAAAAAATGTTGCATCCAGACTTCACTTTTCTCATCATATATTATCTCAGTAAAAGTCAGTCATTACAGAAATGTTGGAAAGACATGAATTCTGGACTGAGAAACATTTACCTATGTTGTTGGGAAATACTTAGAAAATTCTCTTCACTCCCCATTAGGGGTGTGCATTTGCGGGTAATTTTAGAACCGGGTACCCGTTTTTTGTTAACATCGGGTACCCGGAAAAGAAATCACTTAATAACAAATGGCATTTGGACCATGTGCCCAAAACACGGTTCTTTTTGGTACATAGGAAGCAAGCAGCACATTGTTCTAAACGTCGGAGTTAATCTACCTACCTTTTTATCAAACGAAATTGTTACCTTCAGTTTGCAATTTTTTTGTGGGTGTATGAAACAGAAAAACAAATGCTCACGGGGAACATCAGAAAAGAGGACAGAGCTGCAAACCACCTACATGATATATGCACCTGCAACCGCTCAAAGGAAATGTCCCGGATGCTGCATGACCGCATACACACGGAACGCACGTGGCGTGCACAAATGGTGAGCGCTGGTCATGTCACGTGTGGACCAGATCAGTGCTATGTACATGTACGTCACTGGTTAATAGGCTTAAAGTTTTATGTACAAAAATACCACCGTAACGTGAACAATGCCCACACCATTATATCCACTTATTTTGAAGTTTCTGATTCAAAAAACCGCCACCAAAATTCTTCAAACGGCGTTGAAAGTATCGGAAGTCAATATAGGTTAGGAGTCATCGCAAGTGAATTTCTTTTCTCACGAGGACCAGTTGGTTGCATGTTGCATAAATCAATGTAGCTGCAACTGTAATCCTGGCTTTCAAGACGCTGAAACTAACCTGATTACAACGCGGGCCCAATTGTAGTCCCCTTCAGGCAGTCCAATCGCTGACACTGCAGCGGCCATGTGACCGCAAAAGGAAAGGTCATGTGACCACACATAGGGAAGCCCAAGTGAAAAAAATAGCAGCGCTTCACCTTGTTAAATGACTGAAGCGATACGAAAGTTTTGTCACACGAAGGTACCACGATGGAGTGGTTTAGTTTAATAAAGACTTTTTCAGGAAAAGTACATTCCCCTGAGGTTCAAATTGTCGAGATTTTAATGTATAAGTACTTTGACAAGTGACATTTGATTGGCCAACTGTATTATGACTTGCACCTGTCAACATTTCCCTTTTTTCCAATGAAAGAATACTTAGATTTGAAATGCTTTTGTACATACAGAAAACATCCTGCCTGCTTTTTTTGTTCAATTCCTCATCCACAGTTCCACTGAGTCACTGAGGAAATTCATGTTGCTTTAAGTTAAAAATAATTTTGAAACGGCATATTTCTTGGTATAAAAATCTAAACTGGTTCTCTGACTCTTTGGGTTTGTAGAGCACATTTAGTGCTTTGGTTATAAAAACAGGCCGATCAACCGCACAATTTGTGCGTGATCACTGCTTACCGCACGTCGTGTGGAGTCCCAGCACCACTAGAATATTACACAGTCCGCTCTCGCTTTGTCGTCAATCCCAAAAAGTAATTTTCATTCATATTGTTTTACTTGACAAAAATACTCTTTAACTCAAACAGTAAGCACCACTAATTCCGCACAAAAGTCATGTAGCCCGACAGGGTTTGCACAGGGTTTGAACAAATACAGTCATGCAAGTGTTCATGTACATCAACAGTGCTTCCACCTCGTAAGACAAAACTCCTTCGGTCTCTTGTTTGTATAGGTTTGGTACAGTCATTTTCCCAGTTCCAGATCGCAAAAATTATTCAGTAAGACTGCAGCTAAAAAAAATCCTCAAATTGGAGTGAAATATGGTCAGAAGTCAACTCTGTGTTTTGGATACTTCAATTTTTGAAAATCGATCGACGAAAGTGACGACGATACCTTTCCTAGTTCTGGATCAGTTTAGGATCGAGACAAAAACGTCTTCACAAATAAAAAGTAACCATACAAAAAATCCATTTTCAGCCAGAACCATTGTAAAAGGTTGCTTTTCTAATAAAGAATTTTTTAATTTTGAGAAAATTAGACGAAAAATAAGAATTCCAATGAATTAAAAAGTAGAAATTGCGTACAGTTTGACTCGACTTTTCAACTGTACAGTGAGCTATCAACAGTACCCTCCCCGCGCCGCACAGTTGACGAACCCATTATGTCACATACATTTCTGCTGTGTCCCTGCAGTTGAGTTCGCAACGACTTTGCTCACTGTAGCAAATGACTTTTGGACTAGTCTTAATTTTGTGTTACAAGATCTGTAGTGGTGTTTTTTTCTTTTACAAACCATATTGTCTAAGCTAAGCCGTTCAAAATTGAGGATGGAAGCAATTAGACCATAATTGTCAGTTGCCTTGTGGTGCTCTGAATACAAGAAACAAAATTATTAGGTGCATGAGAAATGAAACAGTGGATAAATCAGCCGTTAGTGGCTAATGGAATATTTCACTTATTTAGTGAAAAATTGGTCCATTATCTTTTAATTGCACAATATCACTGACGTAGATTCCATGGTCATACTCTCAGAATCATCTGTGAAAACTGATCATTTTGCAGTGTTGTGATAAGTGTGCACAAAACTAATAATGGTAAAATTATGCTCAGTAAAGAAAACTTAACCCCCACCCAAAAAAAGCTCTTAAGTCTTTGTATGCAATAAATATTCATTAAAATTAAAAAAAATAGCCAACTATGTAACCCCTTCAGTCAGAACTTTTTGTGAGATGTGACACTTTTATTTCTACTTCCCGATGTGTTCCAGCCAATAATGACATCAGAGGGTGATTAATTAATATTCTATAGTTAATAGTCAAAATGTATGAAGACCATTCAGGACTTCTAAGTTCATTCATGATTTAGATGAGTTCATCCCACTGTAAAGCAATGAGTTTTGATGAGGGTTTTTATAAAAATGTGGAATTACCATCCCATGATTCCACATTGTGGACTCTGGACAGGAACTAAAGGCCGTTTCAAGCCACACAGTTGAATGCTGGGATAAACTTGCCTCTGTCTTCTTTCCCTCCTCCCAGTTTCACAATGCCATGTTGCCTCACAGGGCCAATTTAGACCCCAGAAACAAGCAAAAAGAATTAATTTCACACCTGAACTCTGAAACCAAGATGAAAAGTCACAGTACAAAACTGACTTTAGTGTACAACTATTCATTGTTGTGCAAACTTTACAAGTGTTATCACAAGTCCTACTATTTTGGACCAGGCCCAGTGTTTCACACCCAGATGAAACATCTCAACCACGGCCTTTCAGAAGGGGTCAGGAGTGAAACCCAGGTTGAAAATAATCCTGTGGCTGGCAGGAATGTGTGAAATTTTCCAGATGGATACCCCTTGTGCACTTGATCTTGTTCGCATTTACTGGCACATGTAGCCTGTACAGTTTTATAGATGTACTTTGTTGAATTCATAAACTTGAAAAGCCCAGTCTTTTTGGAAAAAGTCAGAAGTGGTGGCAAGCTATGTACTTCCGTATATTCCAGCTTTCCAATTACTATTTAATCTCAAATTTTTTTGTTATCTGTAGGATTTCTTTTGCTTGTAAAATAGTTCCCTAACATAAATTAATTGGTACTACCGACTGGATCAACCAAATGATTCAGGCGAGGTGTGTGTAAGACAGTTGCTGCCAATTTTGTCCCAATGCAGATTTTTCTGAACTGCTTTCTGTGTGTGCTTACTTTCTTAAGACACACGTGGGCTTAGTACATCTTTGTAGTGACTGTGTTTGAAAGCAAGGTGATTTGGGGTTGTGTGTTTCCTCATACAAAGTACATGTACCAGTAAAAGAAGTTTGCCTTGTCTTCATTGCTCTCTTTGGCATCTACCGTACTTATAAGCCGGAAACTGGAGTAGAGAATGGCGTAAACTGAAAAGAAGATCATTCAGGAAAAAACCTGAAGAATTAAGGCTTGTAATCCTGACAAGAAGTTGGACGTTCTTCCCCCCACTCACTCCTTCCAGTTGATTCAGCATCACTGTCCTTGTCAGCACCTTTTACATGGAGGGTCAAAGGCCTGAATTCAGTATCTGGATGGATTATTCAGCCTACCTACGTCTACTGAACAGTTGAGCCAACATTATGGGTCTGACACAGATGAACCGTGGAGGACGAACCTTCAGAGTCATTAGCAGAGCAAACCATTTTGTATTTGCAGTGTGTGTGTATTTCTTTCTGGTTACAGACTCAGTCTTTTGAAAAGATGTACATCTCACAGCCCTTCACTCATAGTTATGCCCATTTTTTTGGGGGGGGGGGTTTATTCCTCCATGATATATCACGGGCAGAAAGTGTTGTACCGTAGGTGAGGCACTGTCAGTGATGTGCATTATGTGTTATTATTGCATGTACATGTACCGGTATGTGTATGTAACCTCCATAAAGTATATCTTGGAGGCATGTCATCCCATATCGTCGTCATCATCATCAGCTTCTCTGCTGACGTACATGTATCTTTCTTTGTGCATGCTCAGTGAGGAGCGGGCCTACTGAGCTGCATCCCCCTTAGATATCACTGCACATATAGACCCTGGACTGAGACCTGGGAGTTCTGGTCATTGTAGGGCTCACTTCAATCAGCGCTGTGTATTGGTTAACCGGCTTACTGAGAGAGTAAGTGTGTGTGTGCCTGCGCAGCCAAGCGTCACTAATTCTCACTGGCCCTGGGTTTAGGGTGAAGTCACTTGCGCCTCTCACTGACTGTGAGGGTATTAGATGTGGATTGCTGTGTCTCCAGCACATCAAGTCAGAAAGCTCTGGGACCAGTGCACAGTGTTGCCTCAGCCGGATTTCTGTCCTCAAGGAAATTCAGCAGTTTTTGTGGTGACTTGAAGCAGTAGGATTTCATGCATGTTTACTTGGTAAGTAATTGTATCAGACCATATACACGTACCTTTCATTGCACTTCTTAACTTTGGATACTTCATTGCACTTCTTAACTTTGGATACTGTAGATATAATGCAGTTCACAGCTAGAGCCCTTCTTTAAGATCTAGGCATTGCACTGCATATATACACGTATTTGGTCTGTCTACTAAGTCACGTTCAACCACTGTGAACAACATTGTAATACCTTGATAATGGGGTAACAGTGAAAACGCTGTAAGTTCTACATTTCAAAGAGATTTTTTTCTTTCACATCCCGATCTCTGACATTTCTTGTCCCAGGAATATGTTGGATTCTTTGCAACTTTCAACTGACATTGTTTGTTGATGCTGATAGGAGGTGGCCAATTAAACCAGGGTAGCGCCTGGGGACTCTTTCATCTCCATCCTTTATCACTCAAATCTGGGAGAACAACTTGCCCTGGGGGTTCAAGTGTTCCGGCTCTCCCCCCTCCCCACATCTTGGCGGTATTCCAGGTGGTTTAAGCACACTTTTAGCTCTCGTCGGAAAGGTGTTTTCTTGTGCTGAGAAAGGTGCTGAATAGGTTGACTTCTATCTAAAGTGCCTTCTCACAGGCAAGGACTTTATGTCCAAAGGCAGATTGTTCCAAAACCTTCGCTCTAAATCTGGTTGCCAATGAGGAGAACAAAGTTCATTGTTCACTACCTCCTTTGTGAGAGTTCCTGGATGTCTTGAAAGCTGCTAATTAGCTGGGGTAGCATGAAACCACTTGAATGATTTCAATTCTTGCCAGAGCGCCTGCAGTTTGCTGTGCAAATCTGATTCTATAACCTTTTGGAAACTGGTCAGTAATCATTAGTGTGTATACCAGTTGCTATTCAAACTCTGTGTACTCTGTGTTCTCATTGTTGTATGGGAATCTCAGGACATAATGAATCTGTGCGTCCTGTGTATGGTAAGAGTGTGTTTAAAACATTGCTCACTTAGCTGGTAAGGGAGCACAACCGTGGACACAGCTTCTTGACTTCATCCCAGCAAACTTTTGCTTTGTGAATGTGGTAAAACAAATTTGTCCCAAAAAAACCCAAAACAAACACACACAAAATCCTGCTAAAAAGGAAGAAAGAAAAGAAAAGATAAGAACCAAAAAAGAACCCCAACAATGATTGAAAGATTGTTTTGGTATTGTTTATACACCCTGAGCAGAAAAACCCCTCATCTGTTAAAAAGAGCCATGTTGGTGGGGAGTGATAATTTTGTCCGTAGTAGGGGCACCCTTTTATTGTTCTGTGGTTCTCATATCTTTTTCAACTCCAAGGGTCAGTAAGCCAAAAAAACCCTGAAGTGTCCCCCCCCCCAAAAAAAATGTACATGACACTCTGTTCATGCTGTTCAGTGCATTGGATGCGGTCTGATATGTACCACTTGTTGTGATGTGGTATTGATGCTGTAACGTGGATTTCAGGTACTTTGATGTTTGGGCTAAATCATATGGCTCATGTCCATTTTCAGTTCTGTTTTTGTACAGGTATTAAATCACAACTTACTTTTTGGGGGCAGGGTCTTCTTAGCAGGGTCAGTAGAAAAAAAACTGCTCTTTTTTTTTAGGTCAGAAGCCCAAAATATAGTTGGTCGGAAATGAGAACCATGGAATTAAAAACAGGTGCCGTAATGCAACCATAGCCCATGCATTTCATAGTTATGTAGGAACCAGCAAAGTGCAGTTCCCGCTAAAGGAACATCCGTAGTTCGGAAGACTGCACCCTCCTTTGCCCCGGCTTGGGGTGGATAAAAAAAACATACAAATGATGTATTGCTTTTTTCTTGCTCAAGCTGCCCTTGAGCACAAGTGAGAGATTTTCCACTAAATATTATACCATTGAGTACAATTCCAACCATATTCCAACTGTTTATTAATTCTTCCTGCTATATCAAAATAAAGAGTGAAATTTACATGTAAATGGCATGACCAAAGTCTTTTAAACGTTTGTTTTTCTGGGCCAATACCGTATTTAAGGTAATTGTTTTTTTTTTTAAAAACCTTGAAAAACATCTAGCCAACAATGATACATATCCCTGTCACTGGACTGAAGTTACTTGCAGAAATGCATCCATTTAATTTCAAGGGTTACAATATTCCCTCGAAGTAATATATGGCAATTATCGTTTTATGAAGCCGTTCCCTCCCGGAGACAGGATGAGAGATTTGCCTCTTACTGGCCTTGACGATCCAAACCATTAACAGAGCTTCATTATATTAACCTGTCCAAGTATGCCCCATGGTACTTAATTGTCAGACGAAAAGTTCAGTGACTCATAAGCCTTTTCCCTGTTTCTGCTGTCGTGGAATAGAAGGCAGCACACCCTTCAAGAAGGGATACAGGTACACATTTGTGCTGTAAGTGATTGGATGTAGATTTGATCAAAGTGAATGCATTTTGTTTAAATAAAACTCATTCCAGAAGAATGTTCAAAGACAAACAATAAACTGTTAGTTAGTGAATTTTTATTTACAATGTACTTGTACAAGCGTGTCAGTAATCTCCCTGTTAGTGTATCATGTGAACAGAAATGATACAGTCACATAATGTTAGTGTTCCTGCTAGTGCAATTTAAGGAATTTTAGGGAACACAAACTGCTTTAAATGTTCGTCGTGTTTTGATGTGTCCCAACTCTGCTACTATTAAAATGTTAGCTTACTGGTAATATTGGCAGTACTGATATGAGTTACACCATTTTTTTTCTTTGAGTCAAGCAATTCTGAAATAAAACATTGTATGTGCGGGTGGAATTTGGGCCGCAGAATTAGAGAGTATATAGTCAGATTTCCTAGGGTTTGGGTAATAGGTGCCTGTGGGAGTCTGAATGTTAAGAGAAGAAAAAACGTAATGCTGAAAATGCTGTAGCATTTGCAATGTTCTCTTTCTTAGGCAATACGTTTTTATACTCTGACCCTGGTAAATGCACCTTGTGTTTCAAATAGTCTGATTTTCAAATTTTGTAGTCTTTGTTGGCTTTTATGTAGATGCCAATGTCCATATTTACGAGTAACAACGTAATGTCATTCTAGGGAAAAAGTTCAGCGTTGCGTTGATTTGTGTACAGAAACTAGTGGAATTTTCGATATTTTGTTGTTCTAAATTCCCTTTGGGAGGAAGGTTCATTGTTTGAGTGCATGGCAACAAACCGAGTAGTGTCTTTTTTGACTGACATCACAGCATCAGCGCCCTTAGGCCTACTTGTCCAGAAAAAGCACTGGAAAATTTTAGATATTTAGAAAATCGCACTGTTCTGTACACTTACCCTAAAAAGGATGTCAAATTGTTTTCATACATTGGAGGAGAGTATAAAGTTACACCAAAAATACATCCAAGAAAACATTTGGACTCTTTAGTGCAAATTGAGCAGGTGGAAATCTTGCAAATACCTCTATGCATGTTCTGAATATTATGAATAAACAACAAAATATCGAATCACACATGGCTAATACTACATGTAGTTGTTTTGGATTCTGCATAATATTGAATTATCTGTGCATTTCTTGCACACATACATGTATACATGTCGATATACTGTATGTACCTGTTTCAGTCAGTGTTGCCTTGATATTCAGGCCCAAATTTGGATTTATTTCACACCTCAGGAAAGGTTTAGTTTACAGCTGTGCTCAGGACTGGTATTCCTCTGAATCAAAGGGAGTGTGCGCTTATAGAATTGCATATTTCCTCAAATGTCTGAAAATTGTCACCACAGTTGTATGCAAAATTGATACACTGCATTTGATTGTGTCTACATTGCTTCCTCTTTTCTCAGAAGCAGTTTGCTGCCCATGTATAAAAGCTTGCTAAGTTTGATACATGTGCGTACTAATGGCGCTTTTTTCTGTAGAAGGTTGCTTAAGTGGGGTAGTTGTGCTTCACTGCTCTAGAGAAATGAGGATTAGCATGCCTTCTCTCTGATTGATGACACCGTTCCAGCCCGGCCAGAAACATAGAGGACCATTGTGTTTGATGAATCCAATCAATTTCATAAATTTATGACATGCTTCCCCTCCGTCATTTAGGTCAAAATGACATTTATGGTTGTGAGTGTACTTCACACACCCTGACAAATCATTCTCAAGCAGCAGAGGGAAATTGCTGCTACAAACATACTCTTTGCAATTAATGGGTTACAAATTCAAATACGTTTTACTCAATAAAAAGCATTTGTTTAACTTTATCAACTATTTGGTTTTTGGTGTGAGATACTGGTATGGTACATGATATACTGATTCATCAAAGATAAGAAAAAAGAGCTTTCTAGACGGGCTATTGAAGTCATAAAATGAATACAGTATGTAAACACATACTTCTTGACAAGTTGTTTTGCAGTTTCTAAAGTAGGGCAGTATCAGATACATGTATTTGAGAGTACATTAATTTTCAGAACATTTGATTTTAATTAAAAATCTGCATGCAGCGGTGTATTTCAGCTTGAGTGGAGGCCCAACATCCTTGGCAAACTTCACCCCTACGAGTATTAGTGTAGCAAGAGCCTCCTTAGCATTAGACACCAAAGACATGCATACTTGTGGTTTGCTTTCTGAAGGGATCTGATGGAGACAAAAATTGAGGTCAGTTATTCCTGAGCCCTGTATGCAAACACGGGCCATCTTTCACAGCGTGCTTTTCCTCTGCTGCTGCTTACCTTCCCTTCTTGCCATTCGAAACCTGAACCGGAATCAAACAGAAGAAGAAATTGAAAGGACCGATCAATGGAGACTGGGAGGAAATGTCCTGTCTTTAGAGTCTGACAGACCAGTGGTTGCCTTCCAAAAAGGTAACCACAAATGCATTAGGGCCTCCCAAAATAGCGACACCGTGGTTGGTTGTCTTTGGATGGAGTCACAGTCTGTCAAGAGGGCCCTTGATTTCTCCAGGGATCTTCTTACTGTCTGTCGCGTGCTTCAGTACTTCTGTATGGGGCCACTTTGGCATACCTTGCCCTTCATAAGGCCACTTCTGCGTTAA